TGCAGAGCACAAAGTAAATATATGCCCAGGTAATGCTGATACAAAAATTGCTTCAACCATTTTACAACAAGCATTAAATATTGCAGTTGTGGTTGCACCTAATGACGCTAATATAGCTGTTATGCTTTTGTGTCATTGGAGAGAAAACATGTATAATGTCTAATTCATGCCTGGAAAGAGTAATCATCTCTGAAGCATCAATTGATTCACTTAATCAGCAAGATTAAAGAGCACTAACTATTTCTACATGCATGGTTAGGGTGCAATATCACCTCTGCAACATACGGAAAAGGAAAACCCAGCTTTTTAAATCTTCTAAAGAATCTAATGAACTTCAAGATATACCACAACTAATGACAATTTTGGGGTTTAAACTATATACAATGGATCAAATTATATACAGTTGAAACATTGACAAAATTAAAATTCGTGCACTATTTACTAAATGTTATTAACTTTCATAATCTACAATATGTACCATGAAGCTAAGCTACTATTAGTTATTACTAAGATATTCCACAACCATTAAATCCTATTGTACATCTTAACGTGATACTAGACTGCTTTTAAGTAGCTATTAATTGATTTTATTACGGTAGTTAAAAGTATAAAAAATAACTAGAAAGTAATCTTTCCATTGTAGATATCAAAAGTATTTGAAAATGACTTTCAAAGTTATAATTGAGTCTCGTAAGTTACCACCAACTGAAAAAGCGGCATACTTTTATGGGTTACGCGTCCATTTTTAAGTTATTGATTGGATGAGTGTTTGAATCTTAATCCTGAAGACTGGGAATGGTAAAAAGAAAGCAATGCTCATATCCCAATAACAACTGATAACAATGTAGCGCCTCAAAAGCTTGTAAGTCTAATAAGATGCAACTGTAAAATGTCTTCAAAAAAACTTATGTGGTTGGAATACTTGCATTTATCGAAAACATGGTCTTAAGTGCATTTTCACTTGTGAGGGTTGTCAAGGAGAAAGATTTCGCAACAAAGAGGTAATTTTAATATGACTAAAGCGTTAGGCTTGACGCAATTTGTTACCATTTTTTAATATAGTTGAGCATTCCATAATTTACTATATTTAATTACATCGTATTATTTTATAGGAAAGACAATCTTTGAAAATGCAGGATGATAATAACAATGATTTTGAATACTTTGACGACATTGATGACATTTGTATGGAATTAAATAACATTTATTTTAAATTTTATCTCACCTGGAATGAACTTTTGTCACTCCACAGCACTTTTTTCCAATTTTACAAAGTCTTACAGTTGCAAAACAGTTGTCTTCGGTGACAATGTAAGTCTTTTAGAAGTGGCTTCATCATAGCTACACGAGCTCGAAGCTTCAATTTTTGCAACCTGTTGCGAACAGTTCTATTTGTAATATTGACATCATGGTAATAAGTCATCAAAGCCTGTACTTCCACAGCAGAACGGCGGCGGTTCTCCAAACTAAGGTGCACAAAGATCCTACCCTCCTGAGAAGTTGCCACCCATTTCTAGATCTATCTTTTACTCCTTTATTTTCCTGTACCTCATCATTATTCTTGCCATTGTGTTCTTCGAAATCATTATCTCTGATGCAACTTCGCTGTAACTTTTGTGACTCTCAGTAACTTTAGCTACAATCATCATTTGCTCTTGACAAGACAACTTCCTATTTCCAGGCATACTTAATATTATAGATTTCAGATCAAATATCGATACTGAAACAACATGAAATAAGAGAAATAGAAAGTATATATTAATCATCTTAACAAATTTTAATGTTGTTTTAAGTTATTGTCAGCTAGTGTGCTTTAACTGTTAGTTAAAGCACACTATATATATATATATATATATATATATATATATATATATATATATATATATATATATATATATATATATATATATATATATATATATATATATATATATATATACATATATATATATATATATATATATATATATATATATATAAATACACACGCCTTTGGAATTTAAAACACATACCTGGTATAATCAGTAGTAAGTACAATAAAAGACATTTAATATATTCAATTTAATTACGCATAAATATGTATGCATGTATGTATATATATATATATATATATATATATATATATATATATATATATATATATATATATATATATATATATATATATATATATATATATGTATATATATATATATATATATATATATATATATATATATATATATATATATATATATATATATATATATATATATATATATATATATATATATATATATATATATATATATATATATATATATATATGCGCTTTTGGAATTTAAAACACATACTTGGTATAATCAGCAGTAAGTACAATAAAAGGCATTTAATTTAGTATTTTTAATTTAATTACATAGTAATTATTTGATAGAATCTGAATATTTTTTAAAAATTTAACAGCAGGGCAAAAATATGAGAAAGGAGCCACTAACGCAGATGTTAAAATGTGCATCAAACAATTTTTTAAATTTAACTAATCTGTTATCAGGCGAAAATTATTACAGTAAAATCGGGGATTAAATAGTACTAAAAATTAGCTCTTGCATAATAATCCTAAACTGTTATATGTATAGTACATGCTAATAAATTTTTATTGAAATACAAAATATTTATCACTATATCATGTTGCTAAAGAGATAGTGTTTTTAAGTTTTCAAGGGTGTTTTTAAGTTTTCAAGAGAGTGTTTTTAAGTTTTTAAGAGACAGTATTTTTAAGTTTTTAAGTTTTCATACATTCAATTTTTTATTAATTTCATGACTCTTTTTAGGTAGAAAGAAAACGCCTCATTTCATCATAGTCTTTCGCCTTTTTATTTAGACTTTCTCTTAAGTACCAAAATGTAAAAACAAAAAATAAACAAATTAAATTAAAAGTAATACGAAAATGAGCAACAACGAAAAAAGCGGGAAAAAGCTGCTTTCTTTCTTTCACTCGGGCAAACTCTTCGTGAATAATCCTTTTTTTTTGAATTTTCTCTTTGTATACGGTGTTATTCTGATGAAGCCAAAAGTTCACAATAATTTGTTGTATAATAAAGTGTTGCTCGTACCAGTTGTCAATTTCTTCATAGACGGCATTTTTGTCATCTCTTTTTAATTCTTCGATGGATTAATTCTTCAATGTTTTAAGTTGAAGGTATTAGACAATTTCGCTTCAATAGCTGGTTCCAACCTGTCCTAGGAGTATATCGTTATTATCCAACGATATAAACACTTCCAGACCAAGTTGTTCAATTTTTGATAACGGTAGCTCCGGTTTCCTTACAAGTCTAGCTATTGAATCTTTGCGATATTTTAGACGCATTTTAATTTTGTATTAGATTTTGTTTTCTGAGATCAGTTGATAACTTGTAGAGTAGATTCCAATGTCATGCTAGGTCGCCACTTTGTGTCGAGAATTAATTAAGTTAGATCAACTCTAACGCTACTATCTTTTTCAATATAAAAAATCTATTTATGTATTTAAAAAATCTATTTAAAAACTGGCAATTATCAGTAAATAAAAATAAATTTCTTATCACCACCATAATACTGTAATAATTACCATAATAAAAAATTAACGTAATCGCGTATTATACATTGGATAACTTTACGTAATTAAATAATATTTGTTTACGACAATGTCCAGCATTTTCTCAACATAAACAATATGGTTTGTTTTCTAGTAAGTTTAGGCCAAGTTAATAAAAAGAAGCAATTGCTTTCACTCAGTAATTGGTCAGCTTTACGTGAATAAGAAACTTTAGAAGTTTTTTTTAAGTTTTTATTTACGTAAAGCTGACCAATTATTGAATTAAAGCAATTGATCATTTTTATTCACCTGGCCTTTTGTAACATTGCTTGCAGCAAAATTGCAGCAAAAAACAATTTTAAAGTTTTTTTTCGTTTTCAAAAGAATTAGAAAAAAAGAAAATAAGTAAATTGTGTTTACTAAGTCGTAAGCTCTAATAAATAAATATTGTATATATTTATTTTACAAAAGTAGTAAAAAATTATGCAACTGAGGAAATATAAGACTGCTTTAACAGCCATCGTTTCTTTTTTGCAATATGATATAACAAACATTGCAAGTTCATTAAGAAACTTTTTATCCTCAAAGTTCAAATTACTTTTTACAAAGTTCAGCACTTATCAAATCATCAGTTCTTCTTCTCATGCATAATGCCTTAGTAATTAAAATGCCTCAGCATTTCGGTTTTCTAGATCAACCAATTTTTTTTTTTCCAATTGTAAATAAATCAAATAAAAATAAAGAAATTATTAAAGTAGATAATAAAATGATAATTTTAAAAACACTAATAATTACGAATATTCGAGTAAAAACATCAAGTATAACTTAGTTGCTACTTTTCTAATTAATTTTATTAAAAAGATGTTTTCCTAACATTTAAATACAATGATTGTTCATAACAGTAATAATAATGTTCATTCAGTATAAATAAAATATTAATTGATAAAGTTATAGCTGAAGTTGTAAAAGTTAAATATATTTTAGAATATCCTGATAATCTAAAATATATTTAATAAGGCATAAAACGGCTTCAACAAAACAAGGCATTAATAATGTGACGAAAGTAGAAAACCCACTTAGAAGATATTTTAAATTAAAAACATTATTAGTAAAAAATAAAATTCAAATTCAAACAATAAATTAAGTTACAAATTATCATTATTAAAAATTAGTTTAATAATTAAAAAATATTTTTAAAAATATACTATAATAGTATACAAACGCAAATAGTATTTGAATACTATTTTAGTATATTTAAAAAATTGTATTGTATTTTAATACAAATTTGCATTACAATACAAATAGTATTTGTATTAATTCACTACATTTTTAAAAAGAATGAATAATTCTTTTTAAAAATGAATAATTAAAAGAATGAATAATTCTTTTTAAATATAAGTAGTAAGAAAATCATAACACTTCAGTAGATTTTAAAAACTTTGGAAAACTATGCAAAACTCTCAAGCTTTATTTTAGGATTTTTAAAAATAAAACTAATACACCAAAAAAATATACCTTCAACACAGAAAAACATTTCTGTGCTATTTTTAACAACACGAGCATGATCTCCATAATCTCCTAAAAGATCAATTCCATAGTCTGCGTTCATTGTTTTAATGAAATATATTCCTCCGATGTACGGGTTTCGAAGTTCAACAAGTGCTGATAAGTTAAAAAAAATGTTATTATCGACATGCAAATAAAAAAAAAATAACAATATTATAAAAGTTGATCATAAGTACTAATAATAATCAAAAAAATACAGACTAATAAAAATATTTGACACATGTTGTAACATTATTTTGATGAAATTTATAGTTTTCTCGTAATAATTACAAGTGCAAATATAAATGCTTTTTTCTATCCCAAATACAATTTTTATAAATTTTATTAACAATTTGAAAAACTATTTTTTTCTATCAATTCAATTTCATAAAACTCCCTTCAACTTTTCTCACAACAAAAAATTTCAAAAGTTAAATTTTCCAGAGCCTTTTATAATAAACAACACTAACCCTTGATCCTTAAAATTTCAATGAAGACATACTCCTGTTTAGAGTCTTTTGTTGCAGTGGCAAAACAAATAAACATCTCTACTGTTTCTCCATTTATGTTTATGATATTTAATATCTTGATATAGTTATTTATTATAGAGATTCATAACGCTCCTATTTATTATGGAGTTATTATTATATAATCATACTATGTAATAAAAATGACCATAAACATATCAATAATTTAAGTCTTTCGGATAATCAAGTAATCAATTGAATAATTGAAATTAAATTATCACTTATGTCTTTGATATTCTAAAAATATCAGAAACATAAGTAGAATTCAATTATCACTTTTATTTTTGATAATTAAAATTATCAAAAACATTTATGGTATCAAAAACTTGTTATTCTTAAGTTATAATGTATAAACATTAACTTTTCTACTCTCTCTGGTGATTGTCTATTTCTATTAAGCCAAGCTAGGCGGTAACGCAACTTAGTCCGCTGCTTCGCAACTCCGCTAAATGCGGACTTTGCATTTGGTAGCAGAGTTGCAAAAGCGCTTTTATTAAGAAAATTTGGTAGCGAACTAAAGTCGCTAACAAAAAAAAATCTAAAATGCTACTCCGCTACCATTTAAATTTAGATATACTATTTAACACTGAAAATGAAGTAAAAAAAAAATTAATCTTTTAAAATATCAAAATTTTCCTCTGTTATCAAAATTGTCTCAATTGTATGCAATTTGATTTTTGATTTTGAAAAAGCAGCATTATTTCTTTTTATAAAACAACTGCAACTAGTTTGATGTATTTATTTGCATTGTTAGTATTATATGTATGTATTTATATTATGCATACGTATGCGTTAATCTAGACTTTCTATTATCTTCTTAAAGTAAGCTATATATAAAGCTAAACAATAACTTTTAAAAATACAATTACAGAACGACTGCAGTTTCTAGTTGTGATATATAGTAAACAATGCAATGTGTTCAATGTTCTTTACGTTTAAAATTTCGTCATGTAAATTTAAAATGACGTTTATGAATTTTATATAAAATTGTAAAATAATGATCATTCTCGTACTTTTTACTTTCAGTTTTTCAAAATATTTTTGTTTAACGGCAAGGTTCTATAGTTTTAGTTTTTATTCTTAGAAAAAATTTCATGGAATCATGTTATAAGTTTTTAAAATAAACCCAAACTGGGATGTTTTTTGCAGACAACATGTTCTACCTGCTCCCGCATATAATAAACTATGAGTTTAATATAAACGGGAGAGGTTGTAGAAGCATTTTCAAAAACTGTCAACAGATAACTGATTCTTGTTCTAGAAAATATTTTTCAAAAGTAAAATCGTTATAGTCAATACAGTCAAGCCAAACAGAGTCAAGCCTCAAGATGTACACAGAAGCCGAAACTGGAAAACATTTTGCAGACGTCATGTTCTACTTGCATTATGAGTTTTGTATAAATGGGAGAGCGTGTAGAAGAAATTTATTTGAAAAACTAAACAGATAAATGTTTCTTGTTCCAGAAAATGTTTTGCAAATTTAAAATTGTTGAAGTCGATTGAAATTTAGAATTTTCAATAGAGTTTTTAACCTTCAGATTGATGCAACAACTACAGACAATGGTTCAAACTATGTTAGTGCCTTCAAATAGTTTGTGTTTAATCCCAACCGTTTTAATTTATTTATTTTGATTAAATCAAATCCGTTTTAATTTAACCTTTTCGCTCTGATTTTCCTACTTGACATATCCAATCAATTAGTCAAGTAGAAAATCATTATTTAAAAACTTTGGCATATAAAATTCGCCTAATGGTCACACACGAGCAGTGAACACCCGAGGGAAGAAATGAAGTGCATTAGAATAAAGGAGAATTATTTATCGAACGAAGCATATTTTGACAGTTGTCAAGACAAAAATAAAGATTAATAGAGGAAAATTTCAAAACAAGTAAGACAGACAACACATCCAAGCAGTACTCACAATAACAATAACAAAAAATTGTATCATATAAAACTAGTACATACGAAGATATACAACAAATATAACTAAAATAAATTTTTTTTTTAAAAACCAAAAAATTGATAAACAAAAAACTTAAAAAATAAAAAACAAAAACAAAAAATATGGATACTAATGTAAGGCCTTAGAATGGAAAAAGAATATTAATGCTAATGTGTAAACATAATTATGTAGTGATGAAGTAATAAACATCTCCTCAGAGTCGCGTCTATTATTACAGGCGTTTTAATGAGGATCAGCACTTATAACTAGTTTGTCCCGTCAGACAAACGTCATCGCCACTTGTGCTTTACCCCGCGTCAAATTATCTTTTGTTTTATTTTTTTTTTATTTATTATTTTTTTAACTAAAGTTAGGTAAAGTAGGGGAAGAACGGTAGCAGTTTCTTGTTCCCAAAGATGTGGAAGGTAACGGTAACAATTTCAAATATTTGGTAGCGATGCCCAGCTCGGCTATTAGGTTCATAAATGTTGCCACCTGTATTTAAGAGCCCTTCACTTTCAGCAGAAGAAGGTAGGGTTAAAAGAAACTTTTGGGCTATTTTTTTGAATTTTTTAAAGAGTTTACACAACTTTTTCTCTATAAAAGTGGACTATTTTCATGACAACTGTAAGTCTTAAATACTTTTCAATTTCCTTGTTTATCATGAGTATAATGCAGTTTGATATTTTCAATCTTTTACTATTTTCAGTTTTGCAAAATTTGAATCATCTATAGTTTTCAGATTGGGAATTAGCAGTGAAGCCGGCGCAAAGAGGGGTATCTTTCCCAGTAAGCACAAGACGCATTTTAGACACTTATAGACGTCTAAAACTAGTCTAGGTAAAAACGCACTTTTATAGACGTTTTGAAGACATCTTTTAGACGTCTTTTATGAATGCGTTTTTAAAATGACGTTTAAAAGGCGTCCATTTTGGCGTTAAAAAAACGTCTAGAAGATATCTTTTTTTAAGACATCTTTAAGACGTATTTAATAAATGCGATTTTAAAATGACGTTTAAAATGCGTCTTTTTGAAGTTTAAAAAGACGTTTAAAAGACGCATAATAAATAGTTTAAAAGACGCATTAAAAGACGTCTAGATCAAGGCTAAAAGACGTCTTTGTGAGACCTGTTTATAAATATGTCATTATGACTTCTTTTTGACGGCTTTGTCATTACGCGTTAAGTAGATGTCGTAAATTCAAAGTAAAAACATAGATTTTATTATTTTCAATAATATGTTCAAGTTTTAAGTGTAAATTGCTATAAATTAAATTACTTTTTTACACAATTGCTAAAATTGTTGTCACAGGAATCACTAAAATAATTGCTATAATATTAATACATCTTTTTTTTATTAATAATTATTTTGCTTTTTTAATAGATAGTTGACTGATCATGATAATAAGTGAAAATGGCAAGAATAATATATAAGTTAAATATCAGTATTTTAAGTTTTTATACACCCACAAGCCATATAATAAATCAAGTATGCGGTCAAAAATTAGCTTTCAATACGTATATTAAATTTTATTATAACTAAAGGTAAGTTATAAATGTTTTAAACACTGTTTTGATATATATTTGTTATTGTTATTTATTATTTTCATCTTTGATGCATCAACCGTTGGTGGTGATTACAGCAATATTAATTTAATTGCTGGTTCCTATGTATATTTTGTATATACGAAGTTAAAACAATATATGACGTATAAATACAATGAATATATACCACATACTACGCAATAATGTTACGTCATGTACTTAAATTTATCTTGAAAAAATCGTTTAAAATACGTCTAAAACGCGTTTTTATAAAGAAGTCTTCATTTAGACGTCTTTTAGCCTTATGATCTAGACGTCTACAAGTGCGCCTTTTAGACCTCCTTAAAGACATCTTTAAAACGTCTTTGTGCTTACTGGGTTACTAGAATAAGTGAATATAGTCGCTAGTGGAACATATTTAGTCGTAATCACTGTCAGTGACTCAGTTGGATCAACAAACATTTATTTGAGGTGAGGTAATCATTTGATAAACCAACCAAAGACGAACCGATATTACTCTATTAACCATAAGAGCCATATCAGCCTTGATTGCTATCAGCTCTGTCATTGAAGTGGAACTATATTGTTACCGTTTTCAACGCGCAATTCACATCGGATGCAACCGTTAGCTTTAACATACTTTAGTCCACTCAAATCTGTATACAACAGGGAATGTGACATTTTTGTGGCTGGAATCACAGAGCGAAGAATTACTCAATACGAAGTTGTTGAACTGTTTACAAATGCATTTAATTGTCTCAACAATGTTGAAAAAGCAACCAGCGGATTTCCAGCCGCTGGCATTTATTCAATAATTTATATCCAATTGATAAAGCTGCACCTGAATTGTCATTACTTGATAATATGCAGAGGTTGGAAAGCCAGAAAAATGCAATGAATCAATTAGATATCGTTACTCAGGCCTTTTGACCACCAAATAAAACAAGTATTTTACATAAAGAATTTCACAGAGTCAAAACATCTGAAACATTAGTTAATTTGTCGTTGTATTTATTTATTCCTAAAAAGAAAGAAGTAAAAAATACTGCTGGTGAAAGTAAAAAGAGAAAGAAAAAATTTATTCTTTAAGAGGCTAATCATGT